AAAAAAAAAAAAAAAAAAGAAAGAAAGAAAGGAAAGAAAAAGAAAGAAAGAAAATATGTTGGCTAATAAAAAAAGAACAAAATCATGTATTTTTGCAGGAACATGGATGGAGCTGGAGGCCATTATCCTTAGCAAACTAATGCAGGAACAGAAAACCAAATACCACATGTTCTCATTTATAAGTGGGAGCTAAATGGTGAGAACACATGGACATGGGAATGGGGAACAACACACACTGGGGCCTGTCAGAGGGTGGAGGGCAGGAGGAGAGAAAGCATCAGAAAAAATAACTAACGAGTACTAGGCCTAATTCCTGGTGATGAAACAATCTTTACAAACCCCCATCACAAGAGTTTACCTATGTAACAAACTGAACATGTCCCCCTGAACTTAAAACAAAAGGTAAACAATCCAAAAAAGAAAAAAAAAAAGAAACGCAGATACTTTATTTCAAATTATTAAAAACATTAGATGGCTGGGCGCAGTGGCCCGCACCTGTAATCCCAGTACTTTGGGAGGCTGAGGCGAGTGGATCTCCTGAGGTCAGGAGTTCGAGACCAGCCTGGACAACATGGCAAAACCCCATCTCTACTATAAATACAAAAAATTAGCTGGGCATGGTGGTGCACGCCTGTAGCCCCAGCTACTTGGGAGGCTGAGGCAGGAGAATCACTTGAACCTGGGAGGCAGAGGTTGCAGTGAGCTGAGATATCACCACTGTACTCCAGCCTGGGTGACCGCGAGACTGTCTCCAAATAAATAAATAAATAAAAGCATTAGTGACTGTCAGAAAAAAGAAAATATATTGACTAGTCTGAAGGTAGTGCGTTCTCTCAATTGATTGTTTACAGTCAGTTACAGATCCAACTCCCTTCTCACAGCTGCCCTTGACTGAGTTCAGTATGAAATGAAAGAAAACATATCACACATGGTAACATGACAAGGCTAGTGATTCATAAAATTCTTGTTCAAATTGTGTGTATATGTGTGTCTATTTGTACACCTGTAACAATATAAAAATTATTCCCTACTGTTGTAGTAAAAAGAAAAAAAAAAAAAGATTGAGAAACATTATGTTACAATACAAATGCCTCCGTTTCCTCCCCCAACACCTTGGAACAGGCAGACTGTCTCTCCCAGGAAGACGTCACCCAATGCAACTGTACAACCCCAGGGAGCCCAGGTCCCACTGAGCCCTTCTCATAGCCTCCACTGTCTCTGTCCTTCATCAGATGGTGTGGGCATCCTCCAATCGGCTGGGCTGCGCCATCCACACCTGTAGCAGCATCAGCGTCTGGGGCAACACCTGGCATCGGGCGGCATACCTGGTCTGCAACTACGCCATTAAGTAAGTGCCCGCATCTAAGGCAAAGGGGGCCCTGGGGCAGGAGGGTGGGTCCTGAGAAGTCAAAGAAAGATACAGTCCCGGCCGGGCGCGGTGGCTCAAGCCTGTAATCCCAGCACTTTGGGAGGCCGAGACGGGTGGATCACGAGGTCAGGAGATCGAGACCATCCTGGCTAACACAGTGAAACCCCATCTCTACTAAAAAAATACAAAAAACTAGCCGGGCGAGGTGACGGGCGCCTGTAGTCCCAGCTACGTGGGAGGCTGAGGCAGGAGAATGGCGTGAACCCAGGAGGCGGAGCTTGCAGTGAGCTGAGATCCGGCCACTGCACTCCAGCCTGGGCGACAGAGCGAGACTCCGTCTCAAAAAAAAAAAAAAAAAAGATACAGTCCCTATCCCTTCTTCATTCTAAGTGCCCTCAATACCATATAATTTGGGTAGTTTTTTTTTATTAAGGCCGAGCACGGTGGTTCATGCCTGAAATCCCAGAACTTTGGGAAGCCAAGGTGGGCAGATCCCTTGAGCCCAGGAGTTCAAGATCAGCCTGGGGAACACGGCAAGATCCTGTCTCTTAAAAAAAAATTAGCTGAGTGTTGTGGTGCTCATCTGTAGTCCCAGCTACTGGGGGAGGAGTGAGACAGGAGGGTCACATGGGGGTAGAGGCTGCAGTGAGCCATCATCATGCTACTGCACTCCAGCCTATGCAAGAGTTAGAAACTGTGGAAGAGTGAGAAACTGTCTCCAAAAAAATAAAAGTCAATTAATAGTCCTTCCTTCCTTCCTTCATTCCTTCCTTCCTTTCTCTTTCTTTCTTTAGAGGCCTTGCTCTGTTGGCCAGGCTGGAGTGCAGTGGCGTGATCTCAGCTCGCTGCAGCCTCCACTTCCCAGGTTCAAGCAATTCTTCTGCCTCAGCCTCCTGAGTAGCTGGGATTACAGGCGTCTGCCACCATGCCCAGCTAATTGCTGTATTTTTACTAGAGACAGGGTTTCACCATGTTGGCCAGACTGATCTCAAACTCCTAACCTCAGGTGATCTGCCTGCATTGGTCTCCCAAAGTGCTGGGATTACAGGAGTGAGCCACTGCGCCCAGCCTATTTTCCCTTCTCTTTTTGAGACAAGGTCTCACTCTGTCACCCAGGCTGGAGGACAGTGGCACAGTCACAGCTCACTACAGCCTCGACTGGCTGGACTCAAGTAACCCTCCTCACTTCAGCCTCTCAAGTAGCTGGGACTATAGGTGCAGGCCACCATGCCTGGCTAATTTTTTTGTTTTTTGTAGAGACAGGGGTCTCACTATGTTGCCCAGGCTGGTCTTGAACTCCTAGGCTCAAGCAGTCCTCCTGTCAAGGTCTCCCAAAGTCCTGGGATTACAGGCATAAGCCACCCTGCCCAGCCCAATAATCCTTTTCCTTTACCCAAGTTTGAGAATCACGGAGAGAGACAGGACTGACACAGGTGGAAAGACGGTGTTGCTGAAGTCAGTAGTGGAGAATGTGGTTTAGATCTGCCGATACGGCAGCCAAGTAGGCTTACAAATATCTCACTACTGAATTAGACCTACACATCCAGTGGCAGGTAACACTGGACAGCCAAAGGCCCCTTCTTACAAGTACAGGGCCAGCCCTCTAAGCTTACGACAAGAAAAATACAGCCAAGAACACATGCTCCCTGCAGGGAGGCAGATCCCAAAGAAAAGGAAGGAGGAATGAGTGTGCTTAGCTCTTCCAGTTTGCTGGGTGGGAGAGAGTTTAGGAGATGCCTTCATACAAGCCTCTTGGAAACAGGGAGCAAGCGTAATGAAACTTGCAGACATTACAGATTCTCAAAGAAAAACAAGAACAGGCCAGGTGCGGTGTCTTACGCCTGCAATCCCAGCACTTTGGGAGGCCGAGGTGGGTGAGTCACCTCAGGTTAGGAATTTGAGACCAGCCTGGCCAACATAGCGAAACCTCGTGTCTACCAAAAATACCAAAATTAGCCGAGCGTGGTGGCGCGTGCCTGTAATCCCAGCTACTTGGGAGGCTGAGGCAGGAGAATTGCTCGAGCCTCAGAAGTGGAGATTGTAGTGAGCTAAGATCACACCACTGCACTCCAGCCTGTGCAACAGAGAAAGACTCCATGTGTCAAACGACAACAACAACAACAACAAAAACGAGAACAAATTATTTATTTATTTATTTATTTATTTATTTATTTATTTATTTTGAGATGGAGTCTTGCTCTGTCACCCGGGTTGGAGTGCAGTGGCGCGATCTTGGCTCACTGCAAGCTCCACCTCCCGAGTTCATGCCATTCTCCTGCCTCAGCCTCCCAAGTAGCTGGGACTACAGGTGCCTACCACCACAACTGGCTGATTTTTTGTATTTTTAGTAGAGACGGGGTTTCACTGTCTTAGCCAGGATGATCTCCATCTTCTGACCTTGTGATCCGCCCGCCTCGGCCTCCCAAAGTGCTGGGATTACAGGCGTGAGCCACCACGCCTGGTAAAACAAGAACAAATTTTAAGTAAACATGATATTTAGAATTCCTTTTTTTCTTTTTTTTTTTTTTTTTTCTGAGACAAGGTCTTGCTCTGTCGCCCAGGCTGGAATGCAATAACCAGATCATAGCTCACTGCAGCCTCAAACTCCTGGGTTCAAGCAATCCTCCCACCTCATCCTCCTGAGTAGCTGGGAGTACAGGCATGCATCACCACACCTGGCTAATTTTTAACATTTTTGTAGAGATGGGGGTCTCATTATGTTGCCTAGGCTGGTCTTGAACTCCTGGCCTCAAGCAATCTCCCTACTTGGCTTCCCAAAGTGCTGGGATTATAGGTGTGAGCCACCTACCGTGCCTGCCCCAGAATTCCAAAATTACATAATAACCACATTTTACTGTCACATAGCCTTTGATCATTTGCAAACTACTTTCACATTATCTCACTGAAGACATGAAAGAAGGAAAAAGGGGGGAACACTAGTAAAACATTATTTCTTTTTACAAATTAAAAAATTGAGGCAGGCCGGGTGCGGTGGCTCACGCCTGTAATCCCAGCACTTTGGGAGGCCGAGGCGGGCGGATCACGAGGTCAGGAGATCGAGACCATCCTGGCTAACCCGGTGAAACCCTGTCTCTACTAAAAATACAAAAAATTAGCTGGGCGAGGTGGCGGGCGCCTGTAGTCCCAGCTACTCAGGAGGCTGAGGCCGGAGAATGGCGTGAACCCGAGAGGCAGAGCTTGCAGTGAGCCGAATCGCGCCACTGCACACCAGCCTGGGTGACAGAGCGAGACTCCGTCTCACAAAAAAAAAAAAAAAAAAAAAAAAAAAAAATTGAGGCTCAGGGAAGTTGAGTAATTTACCAAATGTCACAAAGCCAATAAGTAGTAGAGCTGGTTCAAAATAATCACTTTTTGATTCCAAATTCCTTCTATTGCATTATTCTGATGTTCTTGAAGTCACTAGTAGCCTGAAAAAAATTATCAAAATAAGATACTTGTTGTTTGTTAAATATGGCATCTATTGACAAAGTGTCACATTATAGCCCAGCTTTATCAGACACAGAAGAATACAAAACCAAATTCCATTACAAATAGCTTCTAATTTTTTTTTTTTTTGTTACAGTGGCGAGGCCACAGCTCACTGCGGCTTCGACCTCCCAGGCTCAAGTTTTCTAGTTTGTTTGTTGACATATCAAATGTTTGAAGCATTGAGTGTCATCAGTATAGTTGTTAAGATTTTTAGCCCCTGGGGCCAAGACTGCCAGGGTTCAAATTTGTGATCTTAACTTCTCCATTCCTGTTTCTTCATCTGCAAAATGGGAATAAAATAATATCAATCTTGGAACTGAGTGAGATAACCCAGGTAATACCCCCAGGCTGATAATAAATGGGGAATAAGACTGATTCCTATTGTTATTACAATAGACCTAGGCTTGATTCCCCTCTGCAATGCATGTACGAAGCATTTGAATACATCATTTTATCGCAGGCCTCGGCCTTCCCCTTCCCTTCTTTCCTTCCCCTTTCCTTTTCCCTTTCCCATTTCCCCTTTCTCCTTTCTCCTTTCCTTTCCTTTCTTTTCTTCTGTCTGGCCCTGTCACCCAGGCTGGAGTGCAGTGGCAGAATCTCAGCTCTGCTACCCCCACCTTCCCGGTTCGAGCAATCCTCACACCTCAACCTCCCCTGCAGTTGGGACTACAGGTGTTCACAACCATGCTTGGCTATGTTTTGTTTTTTGTTTTTGTTTTTTGTAGAGACGGGGTCTCGCCATGTTGCCCAGGCTAGTCTGGAACTCCTGGGCTCAAGCGATCTGCCCACCTCAGTCTCCCAACGTGCTGGGACTACAGGCATGAGCCACCAAGCCCAGCCCCTTTAGGGGTTAATAATACCTGGCCCACAGAATTTAAGGATTAAAATATAATGTGAGGCCAGGCGTGGTGGCTCACGCCTGTAATCCCAGCACTTTGGGAGGCCAAGGCAAGTGGATCACCTGAGGTCAGTGACCAGCCTGGTCAACATGGTGAAACCCCATCTCTACTAAACGTACAAAAATTAGCCAGGCATGGCGGTGCGTGCCTGTAGTTCCAGCTACTCGGGAGGCTGAGGCAGGAGAATTGCTTGAACCCGGGAGGCGGAGGCTGCAGTGACCCGAGATCATGCCACTGCACTCTAGCCTGGATGACAATGCAAGACTCTGTCTCAAATTAAAATAAAATAAAATAAGCCTCTGTGGTGCCTTGCCCATAGTACCTGCTAAATAAATGGTGGCCATGACTAGAACTAAGTTATAAACTCTTGGGCGTGGGAAATTGACAGTTTTCATTTCTTTCTTTTTTTTTGTTTTTTGAGA